CTTCCATTTATTTGTATCTTTTTCAATTACTTTCTTCAATATCTTACAATTTTCTGAGGACAGGTCTTTTACATCCTTGGTTATATTTATTCTTAGGTATTTTATTATATTTTCTTGATTCAATTGTAAATGGAATTGCTTTCTTTGTTTCTCTTTCCGATAATTCACTGTTGATATATAAAAATGCAACCAAATTTCTGAATGTTATTTTATATCCTGCTACTTTACTGGATTTACTTATCAGTTATAGTAGTTTTTCTGTGGAATCTTTAGGGTTCTCTACATATAATATTATGTCATTTGCTTAATGACTGTTTAATTTCTTCCTTTCCAATTTGGATGCCTTTTATTTCTTCTTCTTGTCTGATTTATGTGGCTGGGACTTCCAGTCCTATTTTGGATAAGAGTGATCAAAGTGGACATCCTTGTCTTGTTCCTGATCATGGGTATGATTTTAGCTGTGGTTTTGTCATAGATGGCCTTTATTATGCTGAGGTATATTTCCTCTATTCCCATTTTTTGAGTTTTTTTTTTTTATGGGTGCTGGATTTGGTCAAAAGCTTCCTTTGTATCTATTGATATAAATTCACACTTTGTGCCAATGCTGGGACTGAGGTCACTCAGCAAAAGTATCAAGGTACACCAAGGTCAGCTGCCACCATCTGGGTGCCCATTGACATTTGTGGAAGGGTGGGGTGTCAGGGATTCCTCATGATGAGGCCAGCAGAGTTAGTGAGGTCTAAACAGACCAAGATTTGGTCATATGAAGGAAGGGCTGTGCACAGGAATGCTAATGCTGGTTGGATGTGTGAGCAAAATATGGCTCCAACCTAGAGCCACACAACTCCTTTTCTCCTTTACTCTCCTCTGCAGGTGGGAGCTGGGCATGGTAGGATCCTCATGAGTCAGAAGGGTGGGGCTAGTGCATTCCTCCAGGCTGATTCAGAATGAAGGAGAGTGCTTGACCTTGGAGTGATGGCATCTGTGGGCAGTGTGGGAAAGGGACTGAGTTCAGAGACCCTGGTAGCTGCCCCTTCAGCTCTCTCACTGAAGCCATATGACCCAGTCTGTCCTCACATGACTGCAGTCTGATCCAACCTCCCTCTCTGGGAACTAAGAGTGAGTGAACAAGATTTAGTGTGCTGGCCCTTTCAGAGGGAGCCTGGGTTTCTAACAGACTCTCATCTCTTGCTGGTAAATGGAATCCCTTGATTTTCATAGCCAGATATTACAATACATAGACTGCTCTTCTTGGTTCTGGTGTTCTGGGCTGGGGAGTCCAATGTGGGCTTGAGACCCTACACTCCTCAGGGGGAGATTTTTGCAGCTGAGATATCTCTACAGATTTTCAACCAACACACGCAGGTGCCAGGCCAGCCCTTTTCACATCGCAGTGCTTCCTATAGTCTTGATGTGGCTTCTTCTGCAAATTCTTGGTTATAAGACTTGTTCAGTTCCTCTTCAGTTCATTATTCAGGTTGATTGTTCTATTTAATTGTAATTTCAGTCTGAACCTCAGAGAAGATGAGTGTAACTTCTACCTACTCTGCTGCCATCTTGGATCTCTTTTATTTATGGACATTATAGTAATTGTGAAATGTATCAAATCCCATTGTGGTTTTGAATGCATTCCCTGATGACTTGATATTGGGCATTTTTTCATGAGCATATTGGTAATTTGTATATCTTCTTTGGAGAAAAGTCTATTCAGATTCTTCATTCTTTTTGGATTATTTGCCTTTAAAAAAAATACTTGCCTGAGGATATGTTTTTATTGCTTTATAGAGAGAGAGAAAGGGGGAGGGAGAGAGAAACATTGATTAGTTGCCTCCCATACGTGGCCTGACTCGGATAGAACCTGAAACCTACTTATGTGCCCTGACCAGGAATCAAACTGCAACCTTTGGGTACGGGATGACTTTCCAACCAACTGAGCCACATGGCCAGGATTATTCGCCTATTTTTTAATTGAGTTGTAAATGTTCTTTATATATTCTGAATACAAGTCCTTTATCATATATGTTATTAGCAATTCTCTTAGTTTTTGAATTATCTTTTCATTTTCTTGATGGTATTTTTGTAGTACAAAAACATTTTAATTTTGATGTAGTACAATTTGTGTATTTTTTTTGCTTCGGTGGCTTGTTCTTTGGTGTCAGGTCTAAGAAACCACTGCCTTATTATTTCTGTGTGTGATATGAGGTAGGGTCAGTCTTCATTCTTTTGCCTGGGGATATTAAGTTGTCTCAAAACTATTTGTCAAAAACACTTTTCTTCCTCCATTGTATTGTCTTGGCACCTTAAAAAAAAAAAAATATATATATATATATATATATATATATATATATATATATATATATATATATATTTTTTTTTTTTTTTTTTTTTTTTTAAACTGAGAGGAAGGGAGAGGGATAGAAAGTTAGAAACATTGATCAGCTGCCTGCTGCACACCCCCTACTGGGGATGTGCCCACAACCAAGGTACATGCCCTTGACCAGAATTGAACCTGGGACCTTTCAGTCCACAAGCCAACGCTCTATCCACTGAGCCAAACCAGTTTTGGCTGTCTTGGCACCTTTGTTGAAAATCAATTGACAATAGATAAAAGGGTTTATTTCAGGACTGTCAGTTTTGTTTCATTGATCTATATGTCTGTTTTCATTCTATTCCACCTTTTGTTTACTGTAATTTTGAATTAAGCTTTGAAATCAGCAAGTATAAACCCTCCAAATTTGTTTTTCTTTTTTTAAAATATATTTTTATTGATTTTAGAGAGGAGGAGAGAGGGAGAGAGTTAGAAACATCAGTGATCAGAGAGAATTATTGATTGACTGCCTCTTGCACACCTCCTACTGGGGATCGAGCCTGCAACCCCAAGCATATGCCCTTGGCCAGAATTGAACTTGGGACACTTCAGTACTCAGGCTAATGCTCTATCCATTGAGCCTAACCAGCTAGGGCTTACTTTTCTTTTATTTAAGAAATTCTTTATTATTTAAAGTATTACATATTCTATATAATAGTTAATATGCAAATTTACCCTCATGCTGTCATAAGATGGCTGCACCCACAGCAAAGGCAAGGTTCCCATAATGAGCAATATGGCACCAGGCTGGGGAGGGGGACCTGAGGCCGTGCTTGACAGGGGTGGGGCCTGGCCACGTCTGGATCTCGCCCAGTGGGGGTGGGACCAGCCGGGTCTGGGTCTCGCACAATTTGGAGAAATGTGCAGGTGGTTGGGGACTTGACTCTGGGTCTCACAGTGCACCCCAGACTCTGACAGGAGGAAGATTTTCATATACATTTTATTAATTTTCTTTCATCTATGACACTGCCAGTATAGAGAAAGGGCAAATATTATAGCAATATTAAAATATTTCCTCTAATCCCTTTTAATGTGCATGAATTTCGTGCACTGGGCCACCCATTAGTAGTATTACATATATCTCCCTTTTCCTCCATTGACCTCTCCCCAGCCACCCTTACCCCCAGCACATGCCCTCACCCTCCTAGTGTCTGTGTCCATTGGTTATGCTTATATGTATACATACAAGTCCTTTAGTTGATCTCTTACCTCTTCTCCCTCCCTTAACTCCCCTCTGAAGTTTTACAGTCTATCTGATGCTTCTCTGTCTCTGGATCTATTTTTGTTCATCAGTTTATGTTGTTCATTATATTACACAAATGAGCTCTTGATCCTAAGGTGTCCTGTTTTTTTTGTTGTTTTTTTTTAACATGTTATTTTTATTATTGATTTTAGAGAGAGGGGAAGGAAAAGGGAGAAAGAGAAAAACACTGATGAGAGAAAGAAACATCGATCGGCTGCCTCCTGCACACCCCATACCTGGGATCGAGCCAAAAACCAGGCATGTACCCTGACCAGGAGTCAAACCAGCGACTCTCAGTGCATGGGATGACATGCAACCGAGCCACACTGGCCAGAGCTATTTTTCATTTCTTAGGAGCCAATCAACATTAAAACACGTAGGAAAAATCCAGAAAATAAGTATAAAGCATTCTTTGGAGAGAGATTAAAAAACATGAATAGCCATAACCGGTTTGGCTCAGTGGATAGAGTGTCAGCCTGTGTACTGAAGGGTCCCAGGTTCGATTCTGGTCAAGGGCATGTACCTTGGTTGCAGGCACATTCCCAATTGGGGGTGTGCAGGAGGCAACTGATGGATGTTTCTCTCTCATCGATGTTTCTACCTATTCTTCTCTCTTTCTCTCTGTAAAAAATAAATAAAATATATTAAAAAAAACATAAATAAAAAGTAACAAGTCCCCTTCATAGAGTTCAGCTACTGTACCTGGTACTTTGAGGCATGGGAGTTGTTAGGGGGTGATCAGGCTGGCAGGCAGAAGCAGCTAGGGGCAATCAGGAAGGCAGGCATGCGAGCAATTGGGAGCCAGCAATCCTGGATTGTGAGAGGGATGTCTGACTGCCTGTTTAGGCCCGACCTACCTGGATCAGGCCTAAACAAGCAGTCAGATATCCCTTGAAGGGTCCCAGATTGGAGAGGGTAATGACTGGGCTGAGGGACACACCCCATCATGCACAAATTTTGTGCACAGGGCCTCTAGTATATTATAAGCATCCTTCCATGCCATTAAATGAAATAATGAGTGTTTAAAACAAAAATCAGATGTATTTGGTCTCAATTAGTTGTGATACCATGCATCCTTTTGACCAAATACATGAAAGAATGTATGATCAACAAATTTTTGACACTACACTGGCTCTGGAATGCTAATAGATTTGATACAGCTTACTTAAATGGTTGAATGGGCATTGATATATCCTACTTAAGTGATATTCAATATATTAAAATGTTCATCTTCAGAGCTAATGTACAGCATAGAATACTACTTTTGAAGTGTCACTGGGGGAAAGACACTTGGAATATAGTTATTTGTAAGAAGAAAAATGACATGCAAAAAGTATGTTGGTTATTAGAAAAAAATATTTCTTTCTCTACCTCTTTCTGCCTTTTCAGGAGATGTTTCATAAAGCCGAAGAATTCCTACCCAAAACAGCAGGTGGTGAGATGGACGAGATGGACACATCAGATACCCAGTGGGGCTGGTTTTACTTGGCAGAATGTGGAAAGTGGCACATGTTTCAGGTATCTCTTTCCTTGGATGTAGGAGAATGGATTTAGATTCACTTAGCATCCTCTTGCTGATGGAGAAGATGGGTAGAAGCAAACCTGAAAGAAATAAAACTCTAAGGATATCCGATAGCTTAACTGAAAGAAAAGTTTTAGTTCTTTTCCTTTTCCTTTTCCCAGGTTTTTACACAATTTATTTAGAAGAAACTGTGTGTTTACTGAAGGCAGTTGTTACTAAGAGTTGCATGATATCAGTACATATGAGCAACTCCAGGTTTATTTGGTGGACAAAGAGAAGGGAAGAGAACAGCCCATATTAAACAACTTCTGTACACCAAGTATTATGTTAGGTGTTGTACCTATGTTTTCTCCTTTATCCTCATGACAACTCAGAAGCAGAGGTTAACACTCAGTCTTATAGGCAAAGTGAAGCTCAGAAAGTTAATGTATTTTTGTTTAGAATCACACAGCTAGTTAAATGGTTAAGGTAGTGATTAAAGCTTGTGGTCTTTTTTAAACTTGCAAAGCCATTTAAAGAAGATTTAATTTTTGAGCCACTTAGGAAGTATAATTATTGTCATAATTTGTGAAAATTGTAATTATTTTGGATAAGGCTTACCCAGTTTTTTAAGTTTCTTTGCTGGAAATCCTTAAACTATTTTTAACATCCTGGCTTAGCTGTGATTTTTCCCGGTGTTTAGGGACCTAGAACCGGTGATTAGTTAAGTTTCCCTTGTTTCACCATTCTCTGTCTCTGTGACCACAGTACCACATCTGTGGCCAAGCCATTAAGGTGAACAGCTGTAATTGAAACTTTCTGGTTTGTCTTAAAGCCGGATACCAACATTCAGTGTTCAGTTAGCAGTGAAGATATCGAACAAAGCTTCAAAACAAATCCTTGTGGCTCCATTTCTTTTACTACTTCCAAATTCAGCTACAAGATAGACTTTGCAGGTATGTTGCTTTTTTTCTTAAAGTTGCGTGGTTTTAGAATACGATGTGGTAAAATCTACGGTTCTGAAGATGTATCAAGGATCAGTTTGATACATTTGTAAACAGTGAAGTAAATCGTTTTTGTAATACATACAAATACCTCTATAACAATTCAAGATTTAAAATCTTCTTAAGCAACCCTGTCTTTTTTATAAAGGAGTATTTATATGCTTCTAGAGACTAATGTAATGCTTCTCTTCTCAGGAACACAAACACTCTAAGCTATTGTTTTCCTCCTGATCCCATCAGTCTTTTGAAATAGAAACGGACCTTTTTATTTTAAAAACCACTCTGAGAGGTGAAGTGACAAAGTCTGTGATCGTTTTAAGACTGAAGATCAGATTAATGACCCACCTCTGGGTGTCTTTGCGGGAAAACTATTTCTTTAGCAGACATTGCCTTCTGCCCTTTTCTGATTTCATGGGCTCTTTCACAGACTAACCAGCAAATCTGGAAATCAGCTGCACTTGGGATTTCACTCCTGATTTATGGGCATGATTTGAGGTACTCCCCCTTAAAAAAACCTGTTATGTTCAGTCCCTTCACTTTCAAACTGCTGTAGTCCCAGTTCTTTGCTGCTTAGAGGCAAACGGGACCTGGTTGCAGAAGCTTCCTTAATAAAAGTGCATTTTGGTTACTTCACAGCTCAACCCTCTCACTGTTCTTCCCAGTTTCTGTGAGTAGTGTCTTTATGACAATTAGTGGTGTGTTTCTTTAGGGTGGGGTGCTGAAGCCTTAGATTTCCTTGGATGAGCCAAGGCCCAGAAACGGTACAGGGGATTGTCCTGTAAGAGGTTGATGCAACCAAATCTCTAGTGATTATTATCTTCCAAAGCTTTTTTTTTTTTTTTTTTTTTTTTTTTTTTTTTTTTTTTTTTTTTAATCAAGAGTTAGAAGCATTAGATTCTTATTCTTGACTCACCATAACTTTAAAAAAATATTTTTATTGATTTCAGAGAGGTAGGGAGAGAGAGATAGAAACATCAATGATGAGAGAACCAGGTATCGGCTGCCTCCTTGCATGCCTCCTAGTTGGGATCAAGCCCACAACCCGAGCATGTGTTCTGAACTGGAATCGAACCCGGGACCCTTCAGTCTGCAGGCCGATGCTCTATCCACTGAGCCAAACCAGCGAGGGCAACTTGACATTGGATAAATAGGCCGTCTGCCTTTAAAGGACCCTGGCATTTATCTTTCTCCTGCAGTCTAGACAAAAGGTGTCTGGTAGGCATTTTAGTTGGTGTATGGGGGCCAGTTCTGAAGCCATACTGAGACATAACGATATGCACAGACTCATGTAGGAGATGAGGTTTGTCGAAGCAGATAATTAAGCAAGCTACATGTTTCTAAAAGAATATTTTTTAGTAAACTGTATTTTTGGGGAAGTTTTCTCTCAGACAGTGCAGTTTATTAAAACTTTTTTTTAAATCATCTAGGAGTCACATGTAATAACTCAAGTTCCCTAACCCTCAGTATAATGACACTGTTTCTGAAGTATAGCTGATAGCAGTTCATATATAGCATTTGCAAAATTAGTTCCTTTTCTGCCACAAGCTAATTCAGGTTCTCTCTAAAAAAGGGTGAAAAGTGAACTCAAAGGAAGACAACACAGTTTCCACTGTGTGAGCTGAGCTCTTGCTTTTCCCCGCACAGTGGCAACGCCAATGTGTAAGAGTCTAGGAGAATACAGACAGGGCAGAACATACTTTATACAACATTTGCCTGACGGGTGAATCCCTTTATTTTGTAATGGAATAATGCCAATTAGATAACTCTGGACTAGAATCTCACATTCACATATTTGTGGGAATGCAGAAATGGACTTGGTAAGTACTGCCACTGTTGAGGCATAGATGAAAGAAGAAAATACCTTTAATTAATTAGTCCTTCATTGCTAGTATGTATTGAGTCTAGCTAGGTTTTCTATGTTTTGGTTTAGGTATACAATTTAAAGAGAAGGCAAGCAATGTACAGATGTTTGAAATTCTGTGAATTGTACATGTTTTATAATGGTAATGTATTTTTTAAAATCATTTCCAAATATTTTTGATAAATTAACACACAGTTTCCACTTATAGAATATTCAGTATTATAATTTCTTTCTCCTTCTAGTACTCTTAATTTTTCTAAGTTTAGAACTCTTCTAGTTTAATGTCACTTTAACCCAATTATTGTATAGAAAGGAATAGATGCTGCCTACTGAGCAGCATATGATGTTAGCATTCTTTTGTCTGAGAATGGATCAAGCAGTGAAGCTGTCCTCCCTGAATAGCACGTTTATGGCATGATAGATAGATAGATAGATAGATAGATAGATAGATATGTATTTTTAATGCTCTGTTTGTCAGTGACTCCCAAAGCTCTGTGATTCATGTAGGGTGGCTATCCACCTTAGTGACAATTTATAGTACAGTATATTCCCATGACTAATCTGACATCTTTGTCTTTGTATACAGAAATGAAGCAAGTGAATCTCACTACTGGAAAACAGCGCTTAATAAAAAGAGCCCCCTTTTCTATCAGTGCTTTCAGGTACGGTAATGAGAATAGGGGTAGAAACATTGGGCTTTTCCTCTCTCTTCTCTTTCTTAATATTTGATAGAGGAAGAAATAGACTGAAAATGGTTGGTAGGTCACTTAACGATCTTAATATTGATCCTTTCAGCACTAATATTAATATTAGTACTGAATTGCACCTTACTTGATGAAATAGCAATATTATTATTTTATGCCATTGTTTCCTTTCCTCACAGAACTACCCAGTTAATTGGGCTATGAATGCCAAGTAATTACTGCTCTTCTCCACTGGGCCACTCCTGGAAGTAATTTCAGAGCTGCAGTGACTAAATGAGACCTGGGAAGGTGGGAGGGCAGGGACAGGAGTGCTGCTACTTGTGCCCATTGCGAGTTTTCTTTTTCTGTCTCTGGATTTATAGAGCCTGAAAAGGGGAATAAATACCAGAAGAGAAAAATATTTTAGATAAAATATTCCATTTTATCTAATGAAATTGAAGGGGAAAAACCTTACACTTTGTCTACTATTTTCTAGAACAATTTCTCCAGCAAGTATTGAAATTCTTGCTGTTCAAAGAATTTATTATGAAACAGAAAGAAAAAAAAGAACTAGCATATGAATTTTAAGGGATACCCATTTGCTCCTTCCAAGGAGATATTTTGAAAGGATTAGAGTAAAGAATAAAAAATTTTAAGTTTCTATTAGTTTGTTTTATGAGATTTTGGCTTACATTTTAAAATATATATATATTTTATTGATTTTTTACAGAGAGGAAGGGAGAGAGATAGAGAGCTAGAAACATCGATGAGAGAGAAACACTGACCAGCTGCATCCTGCACACCCCCACTGGGGATGTGCCCGCAACCAATGTACATGCCCTTGACCGGAATCGAACCTGGGACCCTTCAGTCCGCAGACCGACGCTCTACCACTGAGCCAAACCGGTTTCGGCTTGGCTTACATTTTAGCATCATGATTTAAATGTTATTTAATTAATGAATGTTCCAGTATTTTCATGGAATGTAGAGAAAACTATTTTCTTATAAACTATATCATTATCATTCTTAAGTATAGGAATTACTTATCTTCAAAGAGTATGTAATCTGGGAGAAAAATGAGACATAATAATGGGAAATGATATTGTAATTGCACATTATTGTATCTGGTATGTTTTGTGAGGAGAAACACATGAGGGGGTCCAGCGCTTTGTTCTCTCACAGATGCACACACCATAGGAAAGAGACAGGAGAGGGAGACAGTGCACCAGAGTGGAGGCTAATAAGATATTAAAAGATTAAGAACAGTTAGGTGGGCTACAGAAGGAGTGGTGAGTATGTGCTGATATAGAAATGTTTATTTATTATAGGAAATATTACATGCAAGGTGAATAGTATATATTTTCCATTGGAAAAGAATTAACAGTTAACTAAGGCTATGGGCTACATAAAAACAAAGCAAAAAACTTTTCCATAGCTAAAAGAAACTTAAGACAAAATCTTCATAAAAACTGGGTAAACTATTGTTACTCATTATCACAGTCTAAGGGTTTATCTCTGTAGTATATGAAATACTTCTATGAATCTTTAAGTAGAAGACCAACAACCTGTTAAAAAAATTGAGCAAAAAATTTGAACAGTTCATACAACCTCCTTCATAATAAGAGAAATACAAATTACATCAGACTATTTTTTACTATTAGACTGACAAAAATTTAAAAGTTTAATAACACACCTTTTTTATAAGATTGGAAAATAGACATTCTCTATATGTCAATTTTCTTGTGTGAATGTCAGTGAGTACAACCTTTCTTAAGGAAAGGTTTGGTCAACATCTGTCAAAATCATGAATATATTCTTTGATTAAGAAATTCCATTTCAAAAATGTCATCCTAAAAATTGACTAGAGGACATGTACAATGACAAATGGTTGAACTAGTTCTTTGTAACATTCTTAACAGTAGCAAAAAGTTGAAAGAACTGAAGATCTTCAATAGGGGACTTGTTAAATAGATTATGATGTCTCCATACCATGGAATTCTGTGCATCTTTGCATTTAACTAGTATTTCTGGAATGTCTATCATGTGCCAAACGCTGTGGTAGGGACTGGGAACAAGGGTACTCTCTATCTACTGATGCAGAAAGATATCTAAGAATGTGGTAAGTGAAAAATAAAAGCTGCAAAAGACATATGTTTTAAGTTACCATTTCTGTTTGGGGAAAGATTGGCTTGTGTTAACCTACAGAAGTTCTAGAATAATACCCAAGAGACTGAAAACAATATTACTTGAAGTTGGGGCGAGAGGTGAGAATTGGACAGTCTAAGGACTGGAGTGGGAGGGAAACTATTCTCTATCTACTTAATTTAAAAATATATATAATTTATTGATTTTTTACAGAGAATAAGAGAGAGGGATAGAAAGTTAGAAACATTGATGAGAGAGACCCCAATTCAGCTGCCTCCTGCACACCCCTTACTGGGGATGTACCTGCAACCAAGGTACATAACCTTGACTGGCATCAAACCTGGAACCTTTCAGTCCGTAGGCTGATGCTCTATCCACTGAGCCAAACCGGTTAAGGCAACTTACTAATTTTTAAGTCATGTCATTGTATGATCTTTTCAAAGTTGAAATGAGTTTTTAAAAGTTAAGCTGAAGATAGGCTTGAAATTTATTTCTTCCAGTGACCTGCAGTCACCACAGAGGGTTAATATGTCAGTATCAGCCTGTTGCCACTGAGCTCCCCAAGATTGCTCTCTTTTTCTGTGTTCACATCCAGTGGCTTAACCTGTTAACCGAGCGGGACTTATAAATACGTCAAACGTAAACAATATCTGGAACAAGGAGGACATATGAATACGTCCTTGAAATATATGTTGCACCCTGAAATGGACAGTATATATTTTTTGTAATCTTTATAATTGTTTGTAAAATTTATAATTTTTTAATTCGATGTTTCCATTTTTTTGTTGGTATTCTTTTCTATTTGTTTGTAATTTTGTATTTTCCTTTGTGCTTTATATATAAATAAACAAAAAATATATTTCATTTATTTTAAGTATAAATAAAAAATAATAATATGAAATTACGTCCACCGGGCGTGATGTACTGACACGTCCTAGTGAAAGAGTATGCGCCCATTATACGTTGCATAATTAAAAAGGGAGCTCCCCGGTTAACAGGTTAAACATGGTAGACAGTTTTTAAAAAGTTGTACTGACTGACTATATTAACTGAGTTAATGTGAACTGTGTAGGAGGAATAGTGGGCAATAAACAGAAAAGTTTAGATTTGAGTTAGATCTTGAAAGACATTGAATGTAAGGCTGATGGGTTGAGATTTTATATAATAGACAGAATAAATATCTTAAGGAGTTTTTTTAAATCAAGGTTTTCTTTTTTTTAAAGATATATATATATATATATATATATATATATTTTTTTTTTTTTTTTTTGATTTTTTACAGAGAGCAAGGGATAGAGATAGAGAGCTAGAAACATCGATGAGAGAAACACCAACCAGCTGCCTCTTGCACAGCCCCTACTGGGGTGTGCCCGTAACCAATGTACATGCCCCTGACCGGAATCGAACCTGGGACCTTTCAGTCTGCAGACCGAAGCTCTACCACTGAGCCAAACCAGTTCGGCTTAAATCAAGGTTTTCATTTTCTTCTTGGAAATTTATTTTCTTCAGCTAAAATCTTCCTTACATTTTAAAGAAATTATGAAAATTTCAGAAAAATAAGACAAAATGAAACAACTATTCTTGAAATTTTAATGTTGTGTAAGGTTGGATGTTTTCCATTAAAGTTCTCAATTCAGCACCTAAAAAGGTAGTACACAAGAAGATATTCAATAAATATTTTAAAATAAAGCAAGGATTACACTTAATTGCATTTATCACAGTATCCCAAACATGAAAATTCAGCATTGAAGAAAAGTCTAAATCACAGTAATTATTATCAGATCCTAATATTTTGTTTTGTCTTTTGCTATTTAAAGTTATATCTGTGAAAATGAGTCTATCCCCATGCCACCACATTGGGAGAATGTGAATACTGACGTGCCCTATCAGGTAAGAGCAGAACTGACTGACTGTCCTGTGCTAGAGATGGAACAGGACTTCAACAAAACTGTTCAACTCTATTTTCCAGCTTGTTCCTTTGCACAATCAAACACATGAATATAATGAAGTCGCTAGTCTCTTTGGGAAAACAATGGATCGCAACAGAATTAAAAGAATCCAGAGAATTCAAAACCTAGACTTGTGGGAGTTCTTTTGCAGGTGAGACAGTTTCTAATCTGAACCCTCTCGTTGACTTTTGTAGTCTTAGAAATGATAGTGAAGCACAAATATTTAATTATATTAATTTTCACTGCTGCTGTGTTTTCCTCTTGTTTTGTTTTGATCTGGTCTCTCAGCTCTCTCCTTCAGCCTTCTCAGGGAGTAAGAGAGATGCTCTGTAAGTAAATGCAAGGCGTTACTTACAGAGGTGAGGAACATCCCCCCCTGACGCATAAGGCCCAAGAAATCATTTCGTCTGGCCCTGCCAAGGCATTGGGGGTGAATTAATTAAATGTTTGACCAAATACAGCAGGCTAATTTTTAAGTTGATAATTTTGTATGGCCCCTGAATGATGTTATAAATACCCAGATGCCCTTGGCAAAAATAAAAGGTTCCCCACCCTTGGCTTACCACATTGTAATGCAGTGGTAGATGTCATTCTCCTTAGCACACGCCTAGAAACGTGCCCCTTTCAAGGTTCCGAGCTGCACATTTTGGCTTAGTCAGCATTGCAGAGGAATAGGGGAGCTATTCAGTTTTGTTGATATGCTTTGTTCGCTCAGACTTTTATGTTGAATTATAACTCTCTGAATTGTTTAATTTCTGTGGAGAGTAGCTACAGCGTTTGGACAGGTTCAAGCCTGGGACTAATGAGAGGGCACGATCCTCTCATGGCAAAGCCGCGTAAGTCCCACCACAATTATAGCCAGAGGCTATAGTTATAAGCTTGACCTTCTGGTAGGAACCTGTGGTCCCACGTGGCTAAGTGATACAGGCTGTGGGAGGTGCAGCAAATAAACAAAGCTTGATCAATTGAGTACATTAGAAACCCGAGAAGATGTTGTAACCACACTCTTACTTTGCCTCTTGGAATCTGGCTATAAAATAAAGGCTTGGCTTGCAGGCAGTGGCTCTGCCTCTCCATCAGAGAGGGCAGCATCCCACCCAGCCCCAGCTTTCTTCTCTTGTCTGTCTTTTCTTACTCCTTCACCACCCCCTCTCAGGCTCACCGAACCTGGCTGTGCTACCACAGCACAAATTTCTTTTTAAACAATTACACTATCTTGCCTATAGTCGTTTGCTTATTTTGTTTGAAGGACCATTGCAAAACATACCTGCAAATTTTCTGTTTAGCCCGAAGTTTATGTTGTAGATTTAAAAATCTCAATTTATTATTCAACTTAGGTTGGAAATGACCCATTGGATTGCTCAGTGTGCACTTAACCTAAAAGTAAAGCCCATTACAAAAACATAAAGGTATTGTCTAAATTAATCTGTTTGTTGTGATGTTTGTTTGTTTATTTATTTATTTACAAATGTATAATAACAAAATACATCCGTATTTGTGAGGATAGAGGACCAATTGGGAGAGGCAGGATGGAGGGATTACACATAGGAATAAGGAACCTGGGGAAGGTGATAGATATGTTCATTATTTTTACAACAGATTAATAGATTAATGGTTGTTAACAGTAAATATTTGCAGTTTATTGTATGTAATGATATCACAAATTGTGCTGAGGAATGTGTTTTTAATAACAAGTAGTACCTAAAATATGTGATTTTCTGAAATATTTTTATTAAATACTAGAGGCCTGGTGCATAAAAATTTGTGCACTCAGGGAAGGGGTCCTTCAGCCTGGACTGCACTGTCTCGCAGTCCAGGAGCCCTCAGGGGATGTCCGACTGATGGCTTAGGACTGCTCCTCTGTAGGAGGTAATCAGGCAGGCCCATCAGGGGATGGTGCTGGCTGGTGAGCAGCTGGCCCTGTCCTTCCCCCCCCCACCCCCCCCCCCGCCTCCATCATTGCACCTCTGCCACTGGTCACCCCGACCCCCACCCTTCCAACTCCCCTCCCCCAAATCACCATCCCCTCATCCCCTTCTGCCCACTGGCACTTGTCTTGACTGACCTGACACAGCCTGCTCACTGGCCCTGCCCCCATCATTCTGTCATTCAGTTGATTTTCATATTATGCTTTTATTATATAGGGTGTGTATGAGATTTGATTTCTAATATTTTATTTTTTTATTTCATTTTTATTTTTTTTGTTTCTAATATTTTTTTATATAAGCAGACCTTTAGTACTTATTCAGAAAAAATTCAAATAATAGAGTTTAATACAACAAACCTTTAGGTAGCCATCATACTGATTTAACATTTGTCAAGATATAGCACATATTATCTATCAATGAAAGCTGCAGTCTCATTAAAAGCAGGCTGACTTTTTGTTTGTTAATGATACATGGAATTCTTTCATGCTCTGATGCTAATAAGAGCTTATATGATAAAATAAGGAGTTTTCAGCTTTATTCTTTATAGTTTTGAGTCTTTGGACCAGCCAACTTTTATTTATGACAATACTGAGTTTAGAAGGTTTTATTCAGTTCTTGGTTAGGTATTAATAATTTATTTTAGAGGAAGATGGAAGCCTCTCTTTTATTTTTTATTTTTATTTTTATTTTTCTATCATCAGTGAATAACGTTTTTTCTCAGATGGTCTGATGAAATCTTCATTATTTTTAATCTGGTTTCCAAAGTGAAGTTCATATTAGTCTCCCTTCTAATTTGACTCTTCCGTTAAATCCTAGTGATAAAATGTACAGTGACTCCCCAGCATTTTATATTAAGAGTTTACTGAAGTCAGATTTACTGACGGTGCCCATAATGATTTTATGTAATATCAGTGTCTAGAAAACTGTGATGGCAAATGAACCTGGCACCTACTGTGACAGTAGAAAATACTGAGTCTCATTACGAAGACAGCCTGTCATGTTGTCATCTTCCTGAAGAACTGATATAACCAAGTTGATCTCAATGGCATGGAACCTATGACTCACCAGTGAGTGCATCACGCATCAGTTTGCATGTTGTTCAGGACTTCCTCCCTTTTTCTAAAAATACGTTTTAGCGCCACCTTTGTGACAGGCTTTATTGGGATATAACAGGGTGTAAGACCATAGACAAGAAGCCAGGCTATTGAACCACAAAAAGTAGGTGGGGGCACAGGTGAGAGTATCTACCCACCCTTGCTGACAAAAGTAGGATATGTATTGTGGGGTCAGGAATATCAAGAAGCAATTCCTAAAGCACGGGTCATTTAAGCTAGACATGGGTGGGAGAAGGGAAGGGCATCCCAGACTTCGGGAGCAGCATGGACCAAAGTTGATTATGAGAGGGAGCATAGAACATTGAGAGAATTAAAAAAAAAAAAAAAAAAAAAAAAGGATGAATGTTGAAGAAGAGCCTAGAAAGGTACTCCAGAGGTAGAACATGCAGGAGTTTGTAGTAGAGCCACTGGGTGATTGTGTGCTTTTCTTTGGTAGCTTTACTTGAGTTGGACTGACCCACAGTTAAGGTAGAGAGTTAGCAGGGCTCAGACTATGCGAGCCTCACAAACCAAACTAAAGGATTTGGATTATTTTCCTGGGACATTGGAAAATGATTGTAGAATTTTAAGCAAGAGAGAGATGGGTCTGATTTGCATTTTAAAAAAATAGACAATTCATCCCTATATTTGGAGCAGGGATTTAAAGCAGTCAGGAGTGAGTTTGCCCACCAGGGGGTATTGGCAATGACTGGACACATCCTTATTATCCTGCAGTGGGATGGGGAGATCCTACTGACATCTACTCGGTAAAGGCCAGTAACACCAAACATTGTGCAGTGCACTGGACAGCCTCCTACAACAAGCAAATATCCAGCCCAAACGTCAGTAGTGCCAACGCTTAGAAACTGGTTTAAATGAATCAAAGTCAAAAGCAGGGAGGCCATTGTAGGAAATTGTTTCAGTAATTAAACTGAGACAAATTGGGTGGCTTGAACTAAAGTGGACCAAAGGAATAAAGAAGACAACTTTGAAGTATTAAGAATGTAGAATGATGTTGTTTGGTGCATAATTTAATGTGTGCAATGGGGTGGGTTAGGGAGATGGGGAAGATGTCATTGAAGTTTATGACTTGTCTTAGTTGACGAAGGAAATATGGGTAGAAACAGATTTTGGTCTTGGGAGGATGTGAAGGGAGTAGTAGTTCATATATGGATTGGGAGCTTGGCAGAGTGGTGTAGACTAGAGATAAAGGCTTTGGAGTAGTTAAGAAATGTGGGTCATAGAAACCATAGGACTTTGATAAGATGACCAGGGACTTTATGTCGATAGAGAAAATAGGAGGGTCAAGGATTAAACTCTAAAAGATATAGAGGAAGAGAAAATCTAAGGAAGGAGCTGAGAAGTAACAACCAAAAAAGGTGGAAGAAAACTAGTGGAATGTGATCACAGAAGCCAAAGGAAGAAAGTAGTTTACATAAGTAGGTGACACCCATGGTCACATAGTGAAGAACAGCCAAGTAAGATAAATATTGACAATAATCCTTTGGATTCTGCAACACAAAGGTCATTAGTACCTTTGATGAGAGCAATGTTGGTAGATGCTATACAGGGTGGGGCAGAAGTATGTTTACAATTGTTCATATGGAAAAATAATACAATAATAAACAGTCAGGTACTTACAACTGTAAACCTACAGCTGCCCCACCCTGTATTGTATTTACAACAAATGTTGATCAGTATTTCAAGAAACTTGGCAGTGAATAGAATGAGAGATCTGAGGAGATGGGTAATGTAGCGTTGGGAAGGCTGTTTTTGTTTCATGTGTTTTGAAGTATTATAAAAGATCAGGTAGATATGAGCATGTTTACATTATAATAGGAAAGAACCTATGGAGATGGAGAGTTTAAAGGACAGGGGAGGCAAGGGAAATTGATGGATTAAGTCTCCTAAACATGTGTGATGGGATAGAACTCAGAGAACATATGTTAGGAGATAGACAAAGGTGGTCCAGTTATATTATAAGTAATGGGAAGTAGGAGATGAGCATAGGAATTAGGTTGAGAGCTCCATTCTGATACTTTCAGTTCCCTTTGTGAAATAAGAATTGAGGTCACCTGTAGATATAAGGAGGTGTGGGTAAGAGGGAGAGATTGAGGAAAAGGAGTGAT